CAGGCATTGTCCCCCATTCTGTATCTTTGCATTTCGTTTTTCCTACCAAAGTGGAGTATCTTGCATTTGTCACTGTTGAACTTCATTTTGTTAGTTTTGGCCCATCTCTCTAATCTGTCAAGATCGTTTTGAATTCTGCTCCTGTCCTCTGGGCTATTGGCTATCCCTCCCAATTTGGTGTCGTCTGCAAACTTGATGATCATGCCTTCTAGCCCTTCATCTAAGTCATTAATAAAGATGTTGAACAGGACCGGGCCCAGGACAGAACCCTGCGGCACTCCACTTGTCACTTCTTTCCAAGATGAAGAGGAAGCATTGGTGAGCACCCTCTGGTTCGTCCATTTAACCAATTACAGATCCACCTCACCGTAGTTTTGCCTAGCCCACATTGGACTAGTTTCCTTGCCAGAATGTCATGGGGGACCTTGTCGAAGGCCTTACTGAAATCCAGGTACGCTACATCCACGGCATTCCCTGCATCTACCCAGCTTGTAACTCTATCGAAAAAAGAGATCAGATTAGTCTGGCATGACTTGTTTTTGATAAATCCATGTTGACTATTAGCGATGACCGCATTTGTATCGCTAATAGTCAACATTTGTATCACCTGGTATCGACGTGAGGCTGACCGGACGGTAATTGTTTGGGTCATCCTTTTTTCCCTTCTTGAAGATTGGGACCACATTGGCTCTCCTCCAATCTGCTGGAACTTCTCCCGTTCTCCAAGAACTCTCAAAGATGATTGCCAATGGTTCCAAAATGACTTCCGCTAGTTCCTTCAGTACTCTTGGGTGTAGTTCAGAGGTCCTCAAACTAAGGCCTGGGGGCCGAATACGGCCCTCCAAGGTCATTTACCCAAACCTCGCTCAGGGTCAGCCTAAGTCTGAAGCCACTTGAAAGCACATAGCCACAACAATCCTATCTCGTCAGCCAAAAGCAGGCCCATACTTCCCATTTAATACTAATAAGTTTATATTTGTTAAAATTGTCCTTCATTTTAATTATTGTATTGTTTTAAGGTATTTTTTGCACTACAAAAAGAATATGTTCAGTGTGCATTGGAATTCTTTTTTTTCCCTTCAAATTATAATCCGGCCCTCCAACAGTTTGAGGGACTGTGACCTGGACCTCTGTTTAAAAAGTTTAAAAAGATCAACTACACCAGGATCCCTGGTGTAGTTGATCTGGCCCTGGGGACTTGAACTCATTTAGAGCGGCCAGGTATTCCTGAACGACTTGTTTCCCAATTTGTGGTTGGATGTCCTCTAATCCCTCATCCACTCCATCTTGCTGAGGTTGAAGATGACCTTCTTTTTGTGAGAAGACCGAGGCAAAGAAGGCATTAAGTAGTTCTGCCTTTTCCCTACCCCCTGTCAGCATTGCCCCATCTTCTCCTCGAAGAGGCCCTATCGCCTCCTTGTTTTTCCTTTTTCTACTGACATAGGAAAAGAAGCCCTTTTTATTGTTTTTAATGTCCCTGGCAAGCCTGAGCTCGTTTTGTGCTTTAGCCTTGCGGACCTTTTCCCTACAGGTGTTGGCTATTTGTTTGAATTCTTCTTTGGTGATTTCTCCCTTTTTCCACTTCTTGTGCATGTCTCTTTTGTGTCTTAGCACAGTTAGAAGTTCTTTGGACATCCATTCTGGCTTCTTTGCACTTGTCCTATTTTTTCTCTTTGTTGGCACAGTTTGCAATTGTGCCTTGAGTATTTCACTCTTGAGAAATTCCCATCCATCCGTAACTCCCTTGTCTTTTAGTATCTGTGTCCACGGAATGCTGCTCAGCGTTTCCTTCATTTTTTGGAAATCGGCTCTCCTAAAGTCCAAAATGCGGGTTTGACTTGTCTTAGTTTCGGCCTTCCTTTGTACCTCAAATTGCAGGAGCACATGGTCACTTGCCCCTAAGGATCCGACCACTTCAACCGCATCGATTAGGTCCTCCGCATTTGTTAGGATGAGATCAAGTGTAGCCAACCCCCTTGTTGCCTCTTCTACCTTCTGGACCATGAAATTGTCTGCAAGGCAAGCAAGGAATTTGTTGGACTTCATACTCTTGGCCGAGTTTGTTTTCCAGCAAATATCGGGATAGTTGAAATTGCCCATGACTACTACATCTCTTTTCTGTGCCTGTTTGGTCAACTGTTGGCAGAAGACTTCATCTAGTTCTTCCTCCTGGCTTGGACACCTACAACGAGATCTTTTTGAGTCCCAATTCCCTTGATTCTTATCCAGATGCTTTCAAGCTGGTTTCCCGGATTGCTGTCTTGCATCTCTTCTGCAGCATAAGAGCTTTTGACATATAAGGCTACTCCGCCTCCTCTCCCCCTTGTTCGGTTTCTGTGAAAGAGGTTATAGCCCTCGATGTCTACATTCCAGCGATAGGAGTCATCCCACCAGGTTTCAGTGATGCCTATGATATCATATTTGTGGTGTTGTGCTAAAAGTTGGAGTTCGTCTTGTTTATTTCCCATGCTCTGTGCATGAGTGTGAAGACATGTGAGCCCCTGAGATCTTCCCCTGAGATGTTTAATTGGGATTATAGTTCTTTTGGTACTTGGTCCTTGTTGTGTTTGTGCAGCCCTCCATTTAGCCTTCTGGCGGTTCCCTGACATTGTGGGTAAATAGTGTTCACAAGTCTGTTGTCCCCCTCCCCCGGTGGACCTAGTTTAAAGTGCGCCTAATGAGATTTGCGAGTCTGTGAGCAAAAAGGTGTTTTCCTACTTCTGTGAGATGTACTCCATCCCTTGCCAGTAGGCCATCCTCCTGGAAAAGCAGGCCATGGTCGAGGAAGCCAAAGCATTCCTCCTGACACCATTTTCTAAGCCAGTCATTGACCTGTACTATTTTCCTGGCCCTTGTAGGACTGTGTCTTACAACTGGGAGGAGGGATGAAAAGACCACCTGTACATTGTTTTAGCTTTGTTCCGAGAGCTCGAAAATAATTTATGATCTTTTGAACAGTATGCCTAGCAGTATCATTGGTTCCTACATGAATCAACATGAGGGGAGGACGGTGATGGGGCTTGAGGAGCCTGGTGAGCCTCTGATGGTATCCTTGAAGTACTGGCTTGACCTTGAAGGAGCTGGGGATGGCAACGGCTGACAGGGAGCTCTGGCATGAGCTGGTCCATGAGGTCACAAAGAGCGGCTGAACGAATTAACAACAAAAATAGCCTTTAAAGAGATAATAAGGAAAATGTGATGGGAGTTGCCCCCCTCCCCCCTTTTAAGGCTTTGGTAGAGACTGTTCTACCTCATTCTACCTCTTGTTGAGTTCCAATTCCAGAGTTCCATAGAAAAAACAACAATTCCATAGACTTGTTGGTTTTTCTCATTTTTAATATAGAATAGAGAACACTAGTAAATCATTTTTTAAGAGTGCAAGGGATTTGAGATTCTGGAAAAACATTTATTCAACGAAAAAGTGTTAAGTTTAATTGCAATGATAACTTGGGAGAGGGTTGAATGCTCATGTGGAAAGTGTTAATGCAGCTAGATGCCACTGACTTTTACAAAGCATTGACGTATACAGAGAAAATAGATAAAGCACATGTGAAGAACCCCACAATGTTACTTCCCAAACAAAATATCTGTATCCGGCTTTAAATTGTATTCATTAAGTAAATTTCAATACAATTGTGTACACTCTTATGTTCTCATTATATAATTTTGAACACCCCCCCCCCCCAATATATCCTCAGTGATATTATTAAAAGAGCAGTGCTTAGCCTTTTTCCTCTTAAATGTCACATCTGTTCGCAGCAAGGGCCCTAGGGGTATGCTGGGGTTCCAGATTCCAGGACGTATGCATATATGTTTTCCTTATTTGTTAGATATGATGTTTATCATATCTAACAAATAAGGAAACAACTTGTATTGGTATTTATTAAAACACCAGAATCAGCCTCTTCTAACTTCAACAGAACTCACATGCTACGACAATACAAGATGTTGCCTCTAGGTCTGTTTCTGAGCCTAATATCTCAAGTTGTGTCTTGAAAACCTCAGTAGTAGTAGTGAAAGCAACCAGCCAGTCTGCATTAATTCCATCACAGTGATCCAGCTCAAGAATGCTGGCTAGGGGGAGAGGCAAGATTTCAGAGTCACTGAGAGAGCTACTCTTTCACAACTTGTTTGCTTTGTGGTACTGAGGGGTAGGGAAGAGGAAGCAATTCTAGTGGGGATCAGTGTATCATTACCGCTGCTAAAAAAAAAGTGCCAATTGTTTTTGGTTGCTGAGGGAAGGGAAGAAAAGGAAGATGCTTTTGTTACTCCATCAATGAGTCCTTTCGCCTGAGTGGCCTTGCTGCTTTAGCTCCACCATTCAAAAGACAAACACTAAAAGATTGGCTGCTTCTGTATCCCTGTGCAAAGGAGGAACTTTAATCTCTTTCTTTCTCAGTTACCCTGATCAGAATCACTGACTTGGAAGCCTTGAGGTAGATTGGCAAGGGATGTAGCATAAAAAGACAGAAGTGTGGGAAAGGCATCTTTGCATCTTTGTGCAAGGAAAGCGCATCCAGAGTTTACTTTTCCCAGCTGGTTTGATATATACTATATTCTAAGTTGAGTCATTTCATTAATTTTCTTTTGTACTATTTATGTTATTGTTGTGTTTGTCACACACATAACATTGACTTAAGAAAGTATGAATGTTGATGCACAGAAATACCTTTTTATTGTAATTTTAACTCTATTATAATCTACATAGGAGGTTTCCCCACAACCAACCTTCATGAAGACTTCCATAAACACAAAAGTAAAACACTCAGGACTTCTTTTGCATACATTCAAGATGTAGTTGCTTACCTCTAGATTGTCGCGGGGAGGGGGAGGGGGTAGTCTGTAAACCAGACTCCCAATGGAAAAGAAAATGTTGTGGAGGATCTGAAATATATTATGATCTTGTTTCTCGTCTTTTCTCATTGCTATGTTACAGTTCATGTATGCATCTTCAATATCCTGACCCTTTTCTGTTCAATCTCTGATGTGTATGGTTTCAGATCCATGGTTACAGACCGCTCAAGATGTTGGTGTGAATGATCAGTGCAGCAACATCCTCAACAACAAGCGGTTCATGCTGGACATGTTGTATGCCAATAACAAGAAGCCCAAGGATGAAAAGGATAAAGAGCTGGAGGAGAAGACGGAGGAAAAGAAGATGACAGAGGCAAATGTAGACAGTCTCACTAGCCTGGCCAGCAGGATCTCAGTCTTACAGGCCACGAAGCAGGCCAAAGATGAAAGTGTCAAAAAAATGGAAGTTGGCAATTTGGACAATCAAGGCAGTGTGAAAGCCTTTGCAGAACGATTCAACAATAGTGAGATGGGCAAAACTGCATACTTTCCTGAAAGTGACTTTACTGAAAAGGCCAATGAAAAAACACCGATCCAGACTAAGAAGGAATCTGACTATATTTGGGATCAACTCATGGCCAATCCAAGAGAACTTAAAATCAAAGATATGGATTTTACAGACTTAAGGGACGAGGATGACGTTGACGTATTAGATATGGAAATGCATCCTAGAGACTCCTTAGCTGCTCCTCCACCACCTCCACCTTCCTTTTTGGGTTTGCCTCCTCCACCCCCTCCCTTGTTTTATGGATGCCCCCCTCCACCCCCACCCTCTAGTAATTTATTGGCTCCCCCTCCTGTTTTTGGCATTGCTCAGGGTTTTGGGTCACCTCCACTTACTAGAAATCAGCCAGCCTTTGTAAAAAAGAAGAAAACAATCCGCCTATTTTGGAATGAGGTGAGGCCATTTGAGTGGCAGTGTAAGAATAACAAATGCTGCAAAGGATTCCTGTGGTCAAAACTGGAGCCTATTAAAGTGGATACTTCCAAACTAGAACACCTCTTTGAGTCTAAATCCAAGGAGCTTCCTGTCACAAAGGTACTTCTTTTTAAATATGTTGATGTTGATTGCATTATGCATACGTTAAGGCAGGTTTGCCAGCATTTATAATTGATACTAGCTTGGAGACCCAGCGGTGCCCAGCAGTGAGAAAAGCATTGTTTGTCTGTGCTCCAACCTTCACCAGGGCATGAGGTGGGTCATGGAAGGTTTGTGGGCCAAGTTTGCTCCTGCTCCGTCATTAGTGGTGTTTGCAATAATCTCTGGAAGTGAGTGAAGGTACTGCAAATCCCATCCATCATCTATGACCCATCATCCTCCAAACGGCAGCAGGATGTAAAATGGGTGATGGGGGTTCTGTGTGCCAAGTATGGTCCAGATCTGTCTTTGGTGGGCATCGCAGTGGGATATGGGAGCCAAATTTATTTATTACTAGCTTGGGGACCTGGCGCTGCCCGGGTTATTTGAGAAAGGAATTGTCTATCAAAGTTGGTCTTTATCGGTTATTTATATGGCTCGCAGTGGTCTCAGGAAGTTAGTGAAGGTACTGCGAGTCCGATCATCTGTGGTCCATCCTCCTCCAAACTGCACCAGGATGGAGAGTGGGTCATGGGGGTTCTGTGTGCCAAGTGTGGTCTTGATCAATCATTGGATGATGGTCACAGTGGTCTCAGGAAGTGAGCTAAGGTACTGGAAGTCCCATCATCCATTGCCAAATTCTTCCAAAATTCACCAGGATGTAGAGTGGGTCATGCGGGCTCTCTGTCTGAATTGTGGTCCTGATTCATCATTGTTGGCAGTTGTAATGGTCTTAGGAAGGGAGTGCAGGTATTGCAAGTGCCATGGTCCATGGTGCATCCTCCTCCAAACTGCACCAGGATGTAATGTGCGTCATGGAGACTCAGTGTGCCAAGTTTGGTCTTTATCAGTAATTGGATGAGGGTTGCAGTGGTCTCAGGAATTGAGCAAAGGTACTGCAAGTCCCTTCATCCATTTTCCATCCCTGGCCAAACCACACCAGGACGTAAAGTGGGTCATGAGAGGTCTATGTGCCAAGTTTGGTCCTAATCAGTCATTGGATGAGGTTAACAGAGGTCTCAGAAAGTGAGTGAAGGTACTGTGAGTCCCATCATCTGTGGTCCATCCTCCTCCAAACTGCACCAGGATGTTGAGTGGGTCATGGGGGTTCTGTGTGCGAAGTGTGGTCTTGATCAATCATTGGATGAGGGTCACAGTGGTCTCAGGAAGTGAGCTAAGGTACTCAAAGTCCCATCATCCATAGTCTGTTCTCCCCCAAACCTCACCAGAATGCTGAGTTGGCCAAGGGGGCTCTTTGTGCCAAATTTGGTCTTTCTTGGTATTTGGATAAGTGTTGCTGTGGTTTCAGGAAGTGAGTGAAGGTACTGCAAGTCCCATCATCCATCCTTCGTCCTCCTCCAAACAGCATCAGGATGTAGAGTGGGTCATGGGGGCTCTGTGTGGCAAGTTTGGTCTTGATCGGACATTAGATGAGGGTTGCAGCAGTCTTGGGAAGGGAGTGGAGGTACTTGAAGTCTCACCATGCATGGTCTGTCCTCCTCGAAAGTGCACCAGGATGTAGAGTGGGTCATGGGGGCTCTGTGTGGCAAGTTTGGTCTTGATCAGTTATTAGTGAGGGTCTCAGTGGTCTCAGGAAGTGAGTGAAGTGACTGCAAGTGCCATCATCCATTGCCAAATTCTTCCAAATCGTACCAGGATGTAGAGTGGGTCATGCAGGCTTTCTGTGTGAATTGTGGTCCTGATCCATCATTGTTGGCAGTTGTAATGGTCTTAGGAAGGGAGTGCAGGTATTGCAAGTGCCATGGTCCATGGTGCATCCTCCTCCAAACTGCACCAGGATGTAATGTGCGTCATGGAGACTCAGTGTGCCAAGTTTGGTCTTTATCAGTAATTGGATGAGGGTTGCAGTGGTCTCAGGAATTGAGCAAAGGTACTGCAAGTCCCATAATCCATGGTCCATCCCCGGCCAAACCACACCAGGACGTAAAGTGGGTCATGAGAGGTCTATGTGCCAAGTTTGGTCCTAATCAGTCATTGGATGAGGTTAACAGAGGTCTCAGAAAGTGAGTGAAGGTACTGCAAGTCCCATCATCGATGGTCCATCCTCCAAACTGCAGTAGGATGTAGAGTCGGTCATGGGGGCTCTGTGTGCCAAGTTTGGTCTGTATTGGTAATTTTCTGGCCTTTTCCTTTCCTCTCTTTGTCATCTCGGAATCTTGGAATTGAGGCTGGCCTATCAGAGACCCTATGCAAATTTCCTTCTCTCATGTCCCCGCTTCTATCATGAGCCCTCTTCACCACCAGGGGTTCCTGTTGAAGCTGGCCAATCAGAGACCATATGCAAATAGCACCACAGTGGCAGCCAATCAGAAAGCTGGCATATACATGTCCTCCACATACTCCTCCACATACATGCATACAAACACTCTCTTTTATTATATACTAGCTTGGGGACCCGTTGCTGCCCGGGTTATTTGAGAAAGTGGGTAAAGGGGGTTCTGTCTGCCAAATTTGTTCTTTATTGGTCATTGGATGAGGGTCACAGTGGTTTCAGCAAGTGAGTAAAAGTATTGCACCAGGATGTAGAGTGGGTCATGAGGGCTCTGTGTGCCAAGTTTGGTCCTTATTGGTCATTGGTTGTGGGTCACAGTGGTTTCAGTAAGTGAGTGACGGTATTGCAAGTCCCATCAGCCATGGTCCATCCTCCTACAAAATGCAGCAGGATGTAGAGTGGGTCATGGGGGCTCTGTGTGCCAAGTTTGGTCTTTATTGGTCATTGGATGTGGGTCACAGTGATTTCAGTAAGTGAGTGTAGGTATTGCAAGTCCCATCATCCATGGTCCATCCTCATCTAAACTGCACTAGAATGTAGAGTGGGTCATGGGGGCTCTGTGTGCCAAGGTTGGTCTTTATTGGGCATTGGATGATGGCCACAGTGGTTTCGGTAAGTGAGTGAAGGTACTGCATATCCCATCATCCATGGTCTATCCCCCTTAGAAATGCATCGGGTTGGGTGGTTATGAGTACTGTGTGTGGCTAGTTTGGGCCTGGTCTGTGATGTAGAGTGCCAACTGAGGCCTACTTTTTTTAGTCAGGCATTGCCAACCAATGTCAGGCATTGCCAACCTTTTTTAGTCAGGCCTTGCCAACTGAGGCCTACCTTTTTTAGTCAGGCCTTGCCAACCGAGGCCTACCCTTTTTAGTCGGGCCTTGCCAACCAAGGCCTACCATTTTTAGTCAGACCTTGCCAACAGAGGCCTACCTTTTTTAGTCAGGCCTTGCAAACCGAAGCCTACCTTTATTTAGTCAGGCCTTGCCAACTGAGGCCTACCATTTTTAGCCCACCATTCCTGAAAGCTGAAATCCCTTTCCTATTCCCTTTGGTGCCTCGGAATGTTCAGGGTGGCCAATCAGAGACCATATGCAAATCGTACCACAGTGGCAGCCAATCGGAATCTTGGAACTTTCAGGCTGGCCAATCAGAGACCATATGCAAATAGCATCGCAGCGGCAGCCAATCACAAAGCTGGCACATACACCGCCGGTCACACCGCCACACTTCCGCCGCATACAAACTTTGACTTTTATTATATACTAGCTTGGGGACCCAGCGCTGCCCGGGTTATTAGAGAAAGTGGGTAATGGTGGTTCTGTATGCGAAGTTTGGTCTGTATTGGTCATTGGATGATGGTGGCATTGTTTTCAGGAAGTGAGTGAAGGTACTTGAAGTCCCAACATCCATGGTCCACCCTCCTCCAAACAGAAGCAGGATATAGAGTGGGTCATGGGGGCTCTGTGTGCTAAGTTTGGTCTTGATCAGTCATTGGATGATGGTGGCATTGTTTTCAGTAAGTGAGTAAAGGTACTGCAAGTCCCATCATCCATGGTCAACCCTCCTCCAAAACTGCAGCAGGATGTAGAGTGGATCATGGGGGCTCTGTGTGCCAAGTTTGGTCTTGATTGGTCAATAGATGAGGGTTGCAGCAATCTTGCGAACGGAGTGGAGGTACTTGAAGTCCCATCATCCATGGTCTGTCCTCCTCCGCACCAGGATGTAGAGTGGGTCATTGGGGCTCCATGTGCCAAGTTTGGTCTTGATTAGTCATTGGCGAGGGTCTCAGTGGTCTCAGAAAGTGAGTGAAGTTACTGCAAGTCCCATCATCCATCTCCAAATTTTTCCAGACCACACCAGGACGTTAAGTGGGTCATGAGAGGTCTACGTGCCAAGTTTGGTCTTGATCAGTCATTGGATGAGGTTCGCAGAGGTCTAAGAATGTGAGTGAAGGTACTGCAAGTCCCATCATCCATGGTTCATCCTCCTCCAAACTGCAGTAGGATGTTGAGTGGGTCTTGCAGGCTCTGTGTGCCAAGTGTGGTCTGTATTGGTAATTTTCTGACAGAGCCCCTGGCCTTGCCTTTCCTCTCTTTGTCATCTCGGAATCTTGGAATTGTGGCTGGCCAATCAGAGACCATATGCAAATTTCCTTCTCTCATGTCTCCGTTTCTGTCATGAATCCTTTTCTCCACCAGGGGCTCCTGTTGAAGTTGGCCAATCAGAGACCATATGCAAATAGCACCACAGTGGCAGCCAATCAGAAAGCTGGCACATACCCGGTCGCACCGCCGCATACAAACTTTGACTTTTATTATATGTATAGATAGATAGATATAGATATAGATATATTTACATCATTTCTACTCCATTCATATCAGCCCGAAGGTGATTCAGGATGGTGAAGCTAATGAAAATCCTGTAAATCCCATCATCCGTTGTCCATCCTCCCTCAAACCGCACCAGGATGTTGGGTCATGAGGGTTATATGTGCCAAGTTTGGTCCAGGTTCATCATTCGTGTGAGTCGTAGTGGCCTGTGGAATTGGCAGCCAATCAGAAAGCTGCCACATACCCACAAACACACATGCAAACATACATACAGACACTGACTTTTATTATATACTAGCTTCAGGACCCAGCGGTGCCTGGATTACTTGAGAAGGTCA